TCACTTCATCTGTAAGTGAGGATAATAATCCCTCCTTTATCAGCTCTCACAGTTTTGTTGCAAGTGAATTTTATGCATATGAGCTCTTTATAGACTTTACAGACAATTGTAGGAAACTGTTATTTCTTTATGATAGACATGAATGTAAGCTATGGTTTTTTGACCTCTTAGAGTTTATATATTATATTTACAAAAAGCAAGTTAACAAGAAAAACCCTCACAAAAAATACCAAAAAAAATTTGCAAAGCTGTTTGTAACAACTCATCACAAATCATTTTGGGTATACATCAAGTATGGGGGTTTAAAATGAACCAAAGGGATGGGTTTAATCAGGTTATGTTTAGTGTTTTTAAAAAATGACATATTATGAATTATTCTATTCATTTATTCCCACTTTTTATTATGAAAATATTTAAGCATGTACCTAGGCTTAATAATTGTTAACATTTAACCACATTTACTTTATCTGTATATGATTATATTTTTTCCTGAATATTTGGAGGTAAATGCCATTTCACCCCTAAATATCCAGTATGCATCTCCTAACAAAAAGGATGTTTATTCACATAACCATAATACCATTGTCACATCTAAGAAAGTTAACAGTAGTAATTACCTAATATTATTTTATAACCAGCTAAAATTCAGATTTCCTCAATTTCCCCAAAAACCTTTTTTTTGCTGTTTTCTCCCCAAATCAGAATCCACACATTACATTTACACACACACTACATTTATTAGTTGTCCTTTTAGTCTTTTTCACCTGAGAACAATCTCTCCACCTTCCCCCCGCTCCGCTCTGTGACATTGGCTCTTTGAAGATAATAGGCCAAGAATAGTTTTGATTGGTGATGAAGAATATTTTGGATTTGTGTACTTCCCCCCGCCCTTCAGGGGACTGCTTATTCCTCTGTCCCTGCATTTCCTGAAAACTGGACTGTTTGTCTAAAAGCTTGATTAAGGGGCGCCTGGGTGGCTCAGTTGGTTGTGCGGCTGCCTTTGGCTCGGGTCATGATCCTGGGGTCCTGGGATCAAGCCCTGCATCGGGCTCCCTGCTCGGTGGGGAGCCTGCTTCTCCTTCTCCCTCTAATGCTTCCCCTGCTTGTGCTCTCTCACTCTCTCTGTCAAATAAATAGATAAAGTCTTTTAAAAAAATAAATAAAAATAAAAGCTTGATTCGATTCAGGTATACATTTTAGATGAGAGTACTTTATTATGATGTATTATACTCCATATTGCATCACACTGAGAGACACATAATGCCAGGCGATTTTATTAGTAGTAATATTAAGCTAAGTAGTCTGGTTGCAGTGATTACCACCAGATAAATCCACTGCAAAGGTACATCTTTCTCTTTGTAGTTATTAAAGGATAAAAATTGAGTATCTCCAGAATAACCTTTCTCTTAAGAGTTTTTAGCATCCATTAATGAGTATCCTGGGCTCCTTTATTTGGTATTGCAAAATGGTGGATTTCTAATTCTGTCATCCCTTCTACTGTGAGTCTCTCATAAAGAACTTTTCCTCATCAAATAGGCATGAACTACATTTCCTCCTAAAAAAGCTTAGTGCTTCTGTGCCTTTAATTACTAATTTTCAGAATAAGGGATTTATGTAATAGTCACTTCCAATGGTGGCAACTAAGATTTTTTTTCCTTTTCTGGTTTTGAGGCTTACTTATGAACTCAGTGACTTTTTTTATAGTCAGTTTTTTTATAGTTAGATTTTTTTGTTTAAAAAAATCAAAGCAATTTATAACTGCAAAGTGTATATTATTTTTTGCTTGATGAAGCTCAATGTGAAGCCTAAGTCCTAATGGAATGTAGTTTGAGGGGGGAGGGGATAATCAGAAAAATGTTTTTTTAAAGTATACATTATTAAAGATCCTAATCATTTTTTTTTTAATTTATGAGATGCTCTTTTCTGAAAGTCTCTGAGTACCTTAACCAGAGTATAACTGAAAACAAGAATGTCAAAAAGGCACATTTAAATTGTTCTCAAAATCAATCAAAAATAATGAGGTGCTGGGAAAAAGTTGTATCCTTGATAATTACATCTATCAGTATCAGAAAACAAAAGAGAACAATCAGGAAATGACAACCCCACTCCCAAGTAGCACATTAAAAAAGGCTAATGAAAAAAAGTCTCTTTTAGAAATTGTACTAAATTAGCATTTCAAGTAAATTGACAACTTAAGCGTTGATAAAGGCCAATCTGGGGCCCAAACAATGGAAGTTCTGTTTTTACTGTTATATGCTTTTAGAAGAAATGATCTCACTTGACTTTTTTGTTGTTGTTGTCTTCTATATAAATGGAAGTAATTGTCCTAAGGGAGGTGACAGTCCTCCTGTACTCCTTAAGGGTCAGGACAACCCTGGAGTATTGTGCTTAATTTGGGGTTCTATTTCTTAAAAGGTTGACCTGGAAGAGAGTAACCAGGATGGTGAAAATTGTTCAAAGCGTTTCTTATAGCATCCCTCTATTCTCAGTCTGAAAAAGGGTTAATGTAATTTCATATTAGACAAGGGATCCAACCTGTTCTTTATTGCTCTAGAGCCTAGAGTTAGGACCAATGACTGAAAGTAGCAGAAAAGCAGATTTGGGTCTAGAATTAGGAAGAAGTCCTTTACAAACTCAGCTGTACAGAGCTGGAGTGGATTTACCTCCAAGGGAATGAGCTCCCCAAAGCCAACCAGCACCGTTCAGAGGTTATAATCCCTTTACTTAAAGTAATGGTGTATGGGTGGGCAGGGGTCTCTCACATATTTTTAATATTTCTATAATTATAATAAGGATGCTTTAAAGGTCATTTCAAATTACTTTGTAAAAAAAGAAATAGAAGGTAAAAATGAATTTTATATCATGGCTTTAAAAAAGAACACCTTAACACATCCCAATTTACATGTCATTGCTTTGTATTTGGGAAATGTGGGCTGTGTGCAGAGGCAAAGTTCAAACTACAGCATTTTAAGATCATGGTACATTGTTTTTGATGACATAAAATTCTTATTTCATTCAGCCCCCAATTTAGGAGGCTGAATTTATAAGTCATACACTTATAAATAAGTGTATGACTTTGTTAGTAAGAATAGAACATAACGTTTTAGGCACTGTCTTAAGAGTAGAATTAGTATTTGAATTATCAACAGTGACAAAAGCATTTTCTTTCAATGATAAAAGAAAACTTCCGTACGTAGATCTTCAAATATGTCAGTTCATTTTGAAGGTAGTAGTAAGTGCTGGTATTTTTTTATTTTGGCTTGTCAAGTGATTTTATTCTTTATTATTAGACCAGGAGAAAAAAAGTCCTAGTATATTCCACCAACATATTCATCAGTCATCATTTTTGGAGACAGTTTTCGACATATTGTATGTTTTACTGTGCTAACAAGAGAAAAGACTAGCCATTAAGTTTATGTTTCTTTGTTTTTCAGCAAGGTCACATATCAGGAATAATGCTAGAAGTATGCTAATAAACAATATATAATGTAGGTCATCTGGGAGTAAGAAATATTTCCTAACTAGTTCTAAAGGGAAATATTGTTAAAAAAGGGATAGATGTTATTTACACAACACATGTTGCTCTATATGTCACCATCAAAAGCATCTTGTAAACAGCTCAGCGCAGTAAATCTTCCTTGGTGATCGTCAGGGTTTTCAACCCGGTGTTAGATTTAGATTCAGCACACTCAATTCACGACATGCCTAATGTACAAAGCCTGCTAGATTATTTAGAAAGCTTCCATTGGAAACAGGCCTTCTCTTCTGTGTTTTACAAGGAATAACTAGTATCCTGTGTTGCAGAAGCTAATACTATGTTAAGTGATGATAATTAAGAAAATTTTACATTAACAGCATTTATAATTTTAAATGGCTTGTGAAATGATGCTAAATTTTTGTGCTTGACTTTGATGTTGTTGAGTTCTTTAATGAATTAATTGCAGTTTACAGACTGATATTTTTTATTGCTTCCATTAGTGAAATAATTTTATATGACTGCGGATGAAATGATAATTCTCGAAGAATGCCTTAACAAAGTGTCATTGATGTGATTTTATAAATGTCATTTTCTCACATTTGGGAGATTTCAAAATGGTTTATTTTGTTTTCCAAGATGGTTTTTAATTGTAAATATCAGGTTTCATCATAAAGGAGTTTATGTAGCTGTGTTCTGGAAAACATAAGCAATGCTTTATTTATTGAGTTCATCTAATATGTACTGAGCAGTGATAAAGATGTGAAGTCATAAAGGCTGTTTTTATCAGATAGCCTAGCCTTTAGAATCAAGAGAACTTATTTCTCTTCTCAGCTCTAGGGCCCTCTGACATCAGGCAAAACTTTCTACTTCCCAGGGCCTCAGTTTCTTTATTTATGATACAAGAATTAATAAATCCTGCTTTCTCCACTTGCCAGGACTGTTATGTAAAATGATAAAATGATGTTAGAATGTTCAGTATGGCATGCTGTCTTTATGGGAGAAAATATGTATTTAAAGGCTCGTATTTAGCAACTTCTGAAACATCTAAATTTTAGACTAAAGCTAAAAATTATAATCACTGAATCTCTTAGCTAGATTCCGCGAATCTTACTGGCCGTTTTACTAAGGGATATCTAGAAGCGACATCACAGACATTTTTGGTCTGGATCTATGAAGACATCAGTTTCTGAAAGTCAGCCATGTGTTACAGAATTTTTTTTAATACTAACTTCTGTTTTTTAGTTTAGGAATCTTTAAAAATATATTATGCTATAATTATGTGCCTCCATTTCTTCCAACTGTTTGTAACTAAAGTATAGCGTTGGGATCAAACCACAAAGTCTTAGTAAGATACTCATGGAACTTTGCCCAAGCAGACCCACAGTAGCTTTAGTTAACAGCACACGTTAAGACCAGCATCTCAAAAAAATGTTGTGAGTAGGGTTGGGTTTTTTTTTTTTTTTAAAGAAAACAATAAAAAGTGCATGTGTCTAAGTAATTCTATTTATACTTGTTTTCTCAGAAGAAGACCTATCAGTGCATCAAGTGTCAGATGGTTTTCTACAATGAATGGGATATTCAGGTTCATGTTGCAAATCACATGATTGGTGAGTGACACTCTAAACCTTACTACAGATAGCTTTTTCTCCTACTTCTATATATCAATGCCTATATAATTAAACAGAGTTAAAGATGAATTAATTGTTCAGCCATCAATGTTTTACCTAGGCATGATTGATTTTTATTACTATTATTAGGCCTGATAAGACATTAGCACATTTTATTTTCTGCAAGGGCTAGTTTAGACTTCTGCAGAGGATCATATTTCTACTGCCAGTCAAAACACAGGTGATTAACAAATTAAACTTCTAATCATTTTTGCATTATTGAAAACTAACAGGAATGGTTAATGAACTGGATGTTAGCTTTCCATAGAGTTTTAGACAGGTTTTAATTTCAGAAGTTATTATGGTAATGGCACTGCTGTGTGTTGCTTAAGCATCTTTGTATCAAAATCTAAAGTGGTGAGTTTTTGTGATAGGGAAACATAAATAATTTAAATTGCCATAAGATCGTTTTATATGTATCATTTCAACAGCCTGGAAATAATCATGATCATAAAGATCATGTAAAGAATTCAGTAATCATTTTTTATTTCCCTGCCAAATTTTACATAGATCTTTATAAAAGCTGTTTGTGTGAAGATTTCTGAAGTCACTCTCGGCCAGTGTTTTCAGGGATTTTGCATTTATCATATGGGCTAGAGCTAAAAGGATAATTTTTTCAGTTATTCATATTGTCCCATTATCCCCTAATTCCTCTGGGGTTAACTCCTATGTTTTTTAATTTGATAAGCACTTAGTAATAACACTAAGAGTTTTACCAGCCAATTAAACTTTATCAAGCAGATCTTTTTCTACTAGTAAAATGACAATTACTTTATGCTATTTTTGTTACTCATTTGTGTTTTTATACTATGAGAGGTTTTTTTTATTTCATCCTCATTTGATGGTATTTTATAATACCATAAATAATTGTGATATAATACTAAAAAGTCCAGTTAACCTTATGCTCTCCTATTACCAAACTCTAAGACAGGAAAGAAAATTCAGCATTTTAGACTCTGAACTTGTTTTCAGGGGTAAACAAGTTTTATTATACACTAATCAGAAGCATTCTAAGAATGCTCAGTGGAAGGGTTGCTCCAACTATTATTACTGATCATTAAAAGCAACCATAACAGAACTCCTAATGCTGTTGTAGAAATTAATAAAGATAAATTCAAAAGCGTGTTAGAAAATTGATGAATAGCTTTTCAATAGGATTTGCTTTATAGTTTTCAAATGGTGGGTCTTTAGGAGGATTATTGCTTATAAAAGACTAAGTACATAATTGTGTGAAGTGGAACTTACACACAACAGCTAAGATATTGATCACTTTATCTCTATATTTTCCAGATTTAAGTACTAATATTATTAGTGACTTTCTTATACATTCAATATCCTATTCTCCAGTGTGGTAGAATAACAGTGACAGCTTTACTGAGTGTCTAGCAGGTAATGACAACATGTAAGAGAGATTTAAATAATGTGTTTCCTTGCAATTTTCTTCTATTTTGGATTCCAAACAGATATTCTTTATAAACTTTCAAAACTGCTTTTTTGGGGGGGGGGTTGGGGTGGCATGGGTTAGAAAGAATGAATTCTTCTACCATGATAAATGCTAATATTTTCCATCTCTTTATTTCTTGAGTAGAGTTTATTGGTGGCAGTCATTCATGATTCTGCTTCATGATACAGTTTTATGTGGGCTTTGGCAAAAACGTTTCTCAGAATTTGCACCTTATGGAAGATTTAGCAAAATGTTGTAGGCCCTGCTTCTGTATGGTTTTATTCTACATAAACTTATTTTGGGTTCTGGAATTTATTATTTATCCCAGGAACCAGACGGACAGATTTAATATATTTTTCACCATGATATTCATTTTCTTTTGCATATGTCAAATCGGAATTGAATATTGAGCAATGAGGGGACTTTTTTGATTTTCCAATTTTAGTATCATTTGGCCATGACATTTGTTAGTTTGTCCTGGTCCTTCTTTTCAAATTGCTTTATACCTTTCCTTTTGTAGTTCTCTTACACTCCTTGCAACATTAGTGCATTCCCAGGGCTTTCTCCCTCTACCTTACAGTGGATTAATATGACACTCAGTTCCTCTTGGGATCTGAGCATTTAACAATTCACCTTCCATCAGAGAAGCAAATTCTATTCCTTTCCACAGAGGGCCTAGTTATTTAATATTCATGCTATTTTTAATAATAAAATATGTAATTCTCTTGCACTTGAGGCCTAAACAAATGAATAGCATCCATTTAATTGTTTTATCTGTTGACCACGCATCCAAGTCCTTAAACTCCAGTCGTGTTGTTAATATCTACAGAAAGAGAATGCATAATGGGAGGATGTCACAAAGGCTAAGGTATCCTTTTTTAAAATCCCAGTGTGATACTTAGTCTTTCAAATGAGGCAGGCAGCATTATTTTGTTGACTAAAATGCCTCCATTGAGGGTAGATATTTTTAGGTTTGTGTGTCTGTGTATGTTTTTTATCTAATCAAAAAATAATCTCAACTAGACATTTAGCAGGGAAGAACGATTAGAGGCTATCTGAAAAGCCTCTTACTCTTTTTGTTAAGAGGGTATATAGTGTTTTTGCAGATTTTGTTCTACATTTCAATCAGTCTTAAGGAAGGATTATGTCACCTGATGGAGAACGAGGTCTGCAGATGACCCAACGAAGTGTAACTTTAGATTCCTTCTTTAACCAAGTCATTTGCATTTGCTACTCTGTAGCATACATGTTCAATGCAATCACTGTGCCAGACAACCTCCATGCTTCTTTCTGGAAGTGCTGGTCTCAGGCTATTGGCCAGGGACATTTGTGAAAGGAAAACCATCAATGTTTCTACCAGGTACAGACCTGGAGACGCTCTGCTCAAGTGCCGTTTTGCAGCTAGGTGTGGACACATGGTCTGAGTTGCAGGAATAATTACTCAATGAAAATGCATCAGGGATTTGACTTACGTCTATTAAGGAAAGAAAGAAAACCTCACTCTCCACCACATTTTGACACAGTTTCAGTAAGAAATCAGACCAGTGACTATTTAGGGGTTTCTTTTCTTCTTTACACACGCACACAAAAAGAGCTACAAAACATTTTAACAGCTTTCCTGGGGAAAAGATTTCCCTTTTTTTCAAGTCTGCACAGATGAGAGATTTTTTCTTGTCTTCCTTTGTTCCTTTCACATAGATTACATTGGCTTTTGACCTGAGAATACAGAAAGAAGCCATTGTGGATTATGTCTTTTAATTCATTTTTCCCCATTCTTTATCGGCATAGTAAATATTTATTGTTATTTTCCTCTTTGAGATTTCTGTTATTATTATTATTTAATATGGATTAGCCCAGATAGAGATGAAACCAGGGAATTTAAATGTGTTTAACCCAGCAAAGGAATTGCCTCATATAAAATTATGAGGCTCAACAGCAGTAGAGTAAATCTGTAAATGCTCTGAATAAAGGGCTGTTAGGCATGTGATAATATAAAGAGATGACATTGCCAAGAACTATTTATGAGAAGCTTAATTTTTTCACTCTGATAATTCTTGACCAATAATTACCAGCCTCTAATTATCTATTTTAGTTAGAAAGAAATTTCGATCACTGCAGAGGTTGGCATTGCAACTAGCGTCTAAATCCCCAAAGAGACAAATGTGTTCCAAACAGCCCCAAACAACTGTCTCATGAAACATAGTGAGCAAATTGCAAGCGGCTGGTGGTAGACAACCAGCAGTACACTTACCATCGAAGGCCAGTCCGCTTGACAAAGAAATGATCAAAGGGGAGAAATACCATTATTCTTGGAATTGATTGCTACATGCATGGACTTTGGAGGACGAAGGGTCAGGATATGGCAATGGCCATTTCCAGGCCTCCCTTTCAAAGTTCTCAGATGGAGAATATGAAGGGAATGGGTCTGAACCATGTACCTAAGAATTATTTTTAAAAACCGACTTAGAAATGATTACTTAATAAGCCTTGGGTTTTTGTATTTTTCTTCTGATCCGAAAGATCAGGGTTACAGTGGCAAATTTGTATCCAAGGTGGCGGAACACACTGTTTTGTGAAAAAATGGGAAATCCACAAATAGTCACTAATAGACATGTCCCAGCAGGATCAAGGGTGATGCTTGGGAGCATTTGGAGGAAGCAAATGTATTTATTTAGAAAAGCAAAGCTTGAATTTGGAACTATAAATGACAACTAATAGGAAAACACTGATGGAAAGATACTATTTTTGTTCAAATCTGGAATACTCAGTGTGTCAGAGTTATAATTTTTAAAAGACCACGAAAAGATTCAAGTCTTCTGCGTGCACGTGGGAAGATGTATACCCCATGTGTTACGTTACATGTGATATACATCACTGATGTCAAAACAAAAAAAAATGCATAAATCAGTTTTGTACACTGTGGTGAATTTTTTGTCTGTTCTTGTGGCAAGTGACATTCATGTGTTCTGCAATTTGTTTGATGCCCAAGGTCACAAATGACATTCTTTTCCTTCCATTTCTTTAGTGGATGGTGTGCTGTGTGACTAATCTTCATTATAGTTTTGTGACATTCAGTATCACTTCTGAAACATTTCAGCTTGAGTGCTCTTGCTTTACAATAGACTAAAACCAATATTTTGAGGTCTATAGTGGTTTTGGATTTCATATGTCTTAAGGGGAAATATCCAAAGATAGGGATCTCTGCATAGGAAGATAAAGGGCTGTGTTGCTCTTTTAACTCTCAGCTTTTATTGGCTGTTTTTTTTTTTAAAGGAATAGAAATGAATCTACAATAATGCATCTATGTGTGGGTATATATATGTATGTGGGTGTATATATGTGTGTGTGTGTGTGTGTGTATCTGCACTCTCCTAAGAAACTCAAAGTCATTAGGTTCTTTGGAGTTTGCCTTAATTCTAAATGAGAAGACTATTGAATTCCAAGTCATCATTTGATGGCTTACAAAACTCAGGGAATTAAGAAACAAGCATTTGGT